TTAGGGGATCTTTTCATGAAGCATGTCTTGCTGCTAGTGTGAAATCTTAAGTCAGACACTATAGGGAATAGAGAAAATATTTCAGTAAATCTGAATTTAGAGTTAAGAAAGGTTCCTGACCCTTGAACAGTCAAGCCAGTCAATTTCATGTAGGGTTCCACTTCCACCTGCCACTATGTACATGAAGGGCCCACATACATGTACATGTAGCTCTGGTGGAGCTGCTTGCGCCACTCACGTGGGTTCTGAACAAAATTAATTATAGCGATGTACTGTACCTTAAAAGGCCAAAACCCCAAAATGGCATTACCTTCAGAAAACTTCGTATGATTAGGTCTGCCAGTCCTTGTTAAGTGTAAGCACTCAGTCAACAAAAACAAGGGTTCCCGATTTTTGTCCACACTTTTTCCACCATTTTTCAAACGGCTCGCTCGAAATCCCACTTCACCAGTGCCACTAGTGATACATACATGTACATGTAGCTCACGTGTGGTCGCTGGTCAACACATGTCTGCTTTCTTTGTCGAGTGATCGCCTGATACCAGCTACATGTACCTCATGTATGCACATGTAAATATTTACAGACGTCTAGTCTTCCATCCCAGTCATGACTTGTCAGGAGTTTGTAGACACTTTCCCAAAGGTCAGAATTTTGGAAGACTCCTCTCATGCCAGTGTATCCTTGCAGTAATGATAACAGGTGCACCTCTGCGATAACAACTTACATGTATGGGGGGAGCTTTGTATTGTGTGTACAAAGTGTGAATAAATGTGGAAGCAAAGCTTCCAACTTTAATTATCTTTTCACAACTCAGAGACTAAGAAAAAATTTTCCACTCCAGATGCCCCTTCCGAACTGATCGTTACTCCATTAGCCTTTTACAATAAGAGGGAAAATAAGCGCACACACTACCGCTGCCGCCACTTTATCAGAATTACATGTACATGTTTATGAAGGGAGTAAATACGGTATGTACATGTACTTGGCCAGTCTTACATGTAAACATGCATTTAAGACCAGCTCAGGAGAATGGCTGCAGGCTTTCCTGAGCCAGTCTTGAACATTAGCTGAAAACTGACCAACACATAACCCCCGGTGGTTACTCCCATTCGTAAATATGGGTGCTGTTTTGGTCAGAGAGTCAAAAGAAGTCAATTTAGTTCTGGGTCATTTGAAGTGCGACCTACCTTACCATACCTCATTTGGGGCTGTTCTTCAGTACTTTATTCTAAGAAAAGTTCTATTTGAAGGGAAAAATGTCACTCTCTTTCTGTACAAATTTTGTTCTCTGAAAATTTCTGGAAAAAAAAAGTTTGGAACGGTTCGTCGAAAATCAAAACAAAACATTACAGAGTAGTAGGTCAGCCACTTTGTGTGATTCCACATACATGTACTTTCGTCATACTCAACAGTTGCATAAACTCTTGCATCTAATGTCTGTTTGATCAAAAAGACTTTTAGAATTTCCATTCCTTTTTTAATTTTGTTGAAAACCGAACTCATATCTTTTCCTAGTTTTGGATTGCGCATGTTAGTGCATACAAGTTTGTTACTGCAAACTACACATACATGTACATGCGCATAACAGTAAGTTACCTGTAAGTTACGACCATTTCCTTTCTGGAGGATTGCAAGACGTAGAAACCAAACAAAACCAGCCAAGCCTTGGGGATCAGCCGCACCATTGAGAAACCCACCCAATAATAATTTTCTCCTTTACCATTTTGCCAAATACTTTTCGAATTAGACATATCGTTTAATTTATAAGGAAAGTGTCAGAGTTCTTTCACCCACATTTTTTATGAAACCCTCACTATGCCCCACACATATGTCACATTTGAGACAGGCACAGTGGGGGGGGGGTTAAGGGGACTTTGATATCCCCACACTCACACACACAAATATGTAGCCAGCGAGAAATATATACATTGTTAATGGGTCACACAACGCATGAACACATGTACTTAAAGGATCCAGGAAATGAATTTTTCTTAGAATCAATTTTTGTGAATCTCTGTACTTTTCTTCCATGTATGAAGACGGTTTGACATCTTTTTTGATTTAGGTGAACTGAACGGTGCACTTTTACAAACATTAAAAATTGACCAAGCATTTCTGGACAAGTGAGGGCATTTTCATGTACATGTAATCCAGGAAGACATGGTTCAGGTTGCATGTTTTCATGTTCAAATTGTGAACCCCAAATTTGCTATCTGGAAACATTTCTGTGAAAAGGATTTTTGCTGGATTATTGCCATATACATGGACCCATACAGCAATACATGTAAATTGCCAAAGAAAATGAAATCTGCCATAGCAGTGGTTAAAAAGATCTAGAATTTTCTGTGCACAAATCAGTACAACATTGAGATTTAGTGCCTTGGATGACATTATAGTTTTGTTCAGGAATATGCAAATATTCATTAGCATAAAACCAAAAAGCATCAAAATATGGGTTAAAATTGAAAAACAAAAATTTAAAATAAAGTTAATTGAAACCCAAAGATGCAATTTTAAGGGTTTTTAGTAAAATGTATAAAAACATTTCTATTTCCTAGTTCCTTTAACCATGTTTCCTCGGGACCACTTGCTTACGGCAGCATCAGTGTCCCTGTAAGGCCGAGAAAATGGCATCTCAAGTGAAATAAACCAGAGCGATTTTACAATGTACATCCAATAGACACAAAAGATAGGGTGGACCGTAATAATTGGTTTCTACGTATTCAATCTCCCAGAAAGGAAATAGTTGTAACCTACAGGTTCACGGGCCCGTTCACGACCTTGGAAGGCAGAAAAGCAGATGGCCACATTTCAGCCGCCTATGTACCAATAAAATCTGCTTCTCCGATATCAAACATCAAGCCGAGAAGGAGAATTCACGGTTGTTGTCAAAACGTTTGGTCCTCCTTTAAGCCTTTCTGAAAGGACTTTCTGGCTGCCTAATTGATGTCCAAATGTTTCCTCCATATTTCTGCTTTTCTGGAAGCAGAAAAATAGAGAAATGCATTACCACAAAATGTTTGTTCTTGCTTTTGAGCGGGCAGAAATGTAGAAAATTAACAAATTGTGTGTTACATGTACAAAGATGTAACATCTGCATTCCTACTGTTTTGATGGCAGAAAAATGGATGGCCACTTTTCATCCTCCTATCATGGCCGTACTACTTCTTGTGTCAGCCTGGGCTCGATTGAAACCCAAGTGACGTTGGTTTCAATTCAAAGGAATATTGATGATCAGCAATGCTGACATAAAACTAAAAGACAAGATACTTCCCACACATCACCACATGTACAATGTACATGGTAAGAGTGGCCAATGCCCACATCACACTCTGACGATGATCAGGAAGAACCCATTAAAATGTATAATTTCATTAAAACGTGGCTAGGACGGGATGAAACTAGGAAAATTAGGTGAAAAATTGTTCTCTCCAGATTATACTAGGTTGTTACTGCATTGCCTGCATGTTGTGAAGTTTACTTTACGTTCTCAGCACAATTAGACTGGGCATGAGTCCTGACTCTGCTAAGATGCAGTCGGATTGTTCCATGATGTACAGGACTTCAGTATGATTGTATGACGATGTTTAAGATCATGGTATGATTGCAATACATGTATATTGTTACATATACCATCTGTGCATAACTTGCAGTACCCTTGCAGCAAGCTGCTGTCATGATTCCCAGTATTTCCCATGCACACTACTCAAAAAAAGTTAAGGACCAGTTTTTCTTGTAGTTTTTTTTTAAGCAGTGAGTGGGGTCTAGTTCTTAAATTTTTTGTTTGTCTAGATGGTGTTCTCATTGGAATAATTTTTTTTTATTTAGAAAACATCAAATATACATTTTCAGCTGTAATATATCCAATATAAAAAAGGTATATTCAAAATACATGTAAAAAGTAGTCCTGAACTTTTTTTAGTAGTATTGGCTGGTACAGTGAGCCCGATCCATTCTCTGGTGGGAACAGCATAAACTTCTTCCTCATTGAACTGTGCTTGTACCGGGTACCACGTCTAAAGATCCTACTATGAGACTGAAACACCAAGACTATGCATCGCTGTCACTGCAATTTGAAGCTCCCTGTTACGTCATTTTGAACATGCTCAAAATTTGGGCACAACCGTCCCGTCCATGAAGCCCCCTTCCACTTTGTTATCAGTTCCCTTTGAGTTCTTACAACGATATAGATGATCTCAAAATGATTGTCCATACTGTGCGTTTTTTTGAGGACATAGATCATGTTTGTGTGTGATGGGAGTTTAACATTTCTGATGCATATACATGTACATGTAGTCTATTGACATAGGATATTAGACTATTACTACAGCTATGCAGGGATTGAAAAAAAAAAAAAGCTCTGATGACTTTTGAATGTATACAGCTGACGATATGATAGATATTGTGATATTTTCTGGCATTGTCATGGCAGTGGTAAATTTGATATTGGGACAACCATAACAATTGGGGACTAGTTTATGGTCCGATATTACCTTTTTGTGTTTAACAAACTGCATTGATTGTATGTTTATAAATATTTGTTTTCACTTTATGTTTCTACAAATGCCAGATCTTTCCTTGCCAATGATACACTAAGCCCTCGCATGACATAAACCAAATCAGATTTACCTGGAAGAATTACTACGGACAAAATTAATGAAACTCCAAAGTCAACTTGATATTAACAGTTTCTTATTTCAAAGTTTGTGTGGCGTCACTTTTTCAAACCATAAATTGCTTATTATTTGGGTAGCATCTTCGAAGGCCTATACATTCTGAAGTATTTGTGCTTTGGAAAGATCCGTAAAATTGCAACACAGGCAACAGGAAAGTTTGTTTTTTGTCCACATTTCAAAAATTCATAATTGCACGATTGTTTCTTTGATTCTCCCTCAGGTTAATGAGAGACACCGCCTTCATAAATGTCAACAGAAGGGCTACCCTCTCCATTTTGAACAAGAGTTCTTAGACTTCAAAAAAGGTAAGATTTTCATTCTATTAATAGCACAAGATTTTCTGGCCAATTTCAAGAGGTTTTGTTCACTTCTGTGTGTGTTTCGGGTTCCTCCTTCCGCTCCTCGTGTCGGCCAAGGTGGGATTTGAACCCAGGTCACAGGGTTGGAGGTTGAGGTGGGTACCACTCCACCAATCTGGCTCCCTGAACGTCAGACTAATTGGTTCCTAGATTTAAATGTCCTGGCACCGCAACAGTACAATGCCGCTATACTGAATATGGCTTTCCCAAAGTTTTGGGTGAACCAAAATTTCCCTTTTGCTCTCAAATTTTCTGCACATTTTTACGGAAAGTTGAAAATTTGCTATAAAAGAAAGATTTAAGCACTAAAGTATTGAGTACTGATGAAGATAGATTGAGATTTCAAGAAAAATCTTACTTGCAAAGGAGCAATGGCTAACACAGGCAGCATAGTCACTATCGTTTGTGGGTACATGTGGTTTACATGTACATACAGTACTGTACGAATGGCCATGTAAACTGGCTACCCAGTACGTGTAACACAGGTGTTCTTTATACAAGAAATCTTGCTTTGTATCATTGCTACAAAGGCAAGGATTTCTACATCAAAAAATTCAACCAAGTAGAGAGTATACGCTGTATATGGACGGCTGTAGCCTTTGATTCATAAATTAGCTCCTAGAAATTATCATTAACTTCAGTATTTGTTGGGTTTGATCATTTTGCAACTTTTTAAATGGTCCCAGCCTTTTATACATGTAGTTCCAATGTAGCAGTGGGAACCAGTGTAACCGCCTGCGTGTTGGGATCTATTCTGGCTTCAAAAGGGGTTTTGTGAGGAAACGAAGACCATTTTTCAGAAAAGTAGTGCGTTTGCCAGTTGTCTTGATGGAAGAAATCATTAGGATGAATGTCATGAGCATGAATTTTAGTTCCATACAAGTTACATGTACATAAAAACTGTCGTCGAAGAGCCAAAGGGGGGGTCCCACATTCAGCCTGAAGTCTGCAGAGAGGGGAACCACGGATAGCACCAGTGCATATTTTAAGGGCTTGATACCGAATACTATCAAGTCTTTGAGTGACGATGATGCCGAATTAAACACTTTACACCCGTACTCCAGGATAGGCTTGATAAGAGCAGTACATACAAGTGATAGAGGGTTTTGCAGTCTGCACCCCTGGTGTTGCCGCAAATAGATATAGTTGGTTATGACATTGTCAGTGTGTGTTTTAGTCTATTGTCGAAGGTGACTCCTGGGAATTTAGCCGGAGGTTGTAGTTGAATCTTCTTGCTGTTGATATTCAAAGAGATGTTGGCTCGTATCTTATTGGTAAAAAGAACAGCAATAGTTTCGGCAATCGATAGCTTAAAACCCCATTTGTTACACCAACTGCTGATGGTGTTGAGGTTGTTTGATTTTCTTTTCTAGATAGATATTTCCGTTCAATTTCCAAAGGGCAATGTCATCTGCATATAAAGTAATGTCATTGACATTGTGAGAAAGATCATTAATAGCAATATTATACAAGAGAGGACTTATAACACTCCCTTGAGGGACACCATTATCCTATATTCTTTCTGCTGAAAGAAACTTGTTGATTTTCACTTGAATTTTCCGATCTGTGAGGAAGTTGTTGATCCATTTGGTATCTCTCCCAGTAATACGTAGGAACTGTAATTTAATCACAATTCCATTTCGCCACAACGTAGCGTACGCCTTTTCTACATGTATATCCAGAAGAACGGCAAGAGTGCTCTCTGTATTAGATCTTGCTTTATTGAAGAAGACTCCAGGTTCAGAAAGCGATCCTTGGTGCTCCGGCCCTTTCAAAAACCACTCTTAACTGAGAGAGCAGGTTGTGGATTTCTAACAACCAGGAAAGACGAGAGTTAACCATGTGTTCCATGATTTTACATAGACAAGAAGTCAGAGCTATAGACCTGTAAGAAGATGAATTGCAAGGGTCTTTGTTAGGTTTAAGAATGGGGATGGGAATTGCATCTTTCCATTGCTTTGGACAGATGGAAGAATGCCAGATTAAGTTAAAGATAATCAGGAGATATTCAAGGTTTTAATGGGGAAGTGTTTGATAACATTGTTGCTGATGCCATCTTTGCCAGGGGAAGTGCATTTTGAAGAATCAGTTGCCTAGTTTAACTCTTCCATGGTGACAGACTTGTTGATGATGTTATCATTGTTTTTGTTAATTGTGAATGAATTCTCAGTTTCTTCCTTTGTGGTGATACAAGAGGGGCAGTAGTTGTCATTGCTACTAACTTTGGCAAAACTATTAGCCAGGGCTTCAGCCTTTTCCCCATTGTTAGTGTCGTAGGATTTATCAATACGCTCGATTTTGTTTCAGATAGTTTTGATGTTGGATTTAGGGCTTATTTCATTGCAGAAGTTTTCCCAATCTTTCGTTTTGGTGTCATTGATGGTTTTCCCTACAATAGTGCAGGTCTTTTTGTAATATAGCAATCGGAAGGGAGTCTAGTTTTCTCAGGTTTTTTGAGAGCTTCTTTCTTCTCGGCAATAACACTTTTGCACTCATCAATCCACTAGGGTTTGGTAGCTTTATGGTGCTTAGAATTGGTTTGGAGTATGGACTTGGACATGGCAGACTGGAGTTGTTGAGTGAAGTTATCGTATACATCAATGTTATCGGAAATATTTGGTTCAGTTATGTTCTGATGACAGGCTTCTTCAAATTTGTCCCAATCAGCTTTTTTTCAGGGACCATTTGGAATGAAGAATGGATGGATTAGAGTAGATAGAGTGGTTAAGCTCAATTATAATGAGACAGTGGACGCTGCCCCAAGTATCGTCAAGAACGTGCCAGTTACTCTTAGTAGCCAGCCGCAGTGTCATGAAAGTGACGTCAATACAGGAAAGTTTGTTGTGAGAAGTATCAATTCTTAAACCTTCACCAGAGTTGATGCAGACCATGTTTGTATCTTCCAGCAGATCTTCATCAATCTGTCCGTTTTGATCCAAAGTGGAGCTGCCCCATAAAGGATTATGACTGTTTAAATCTCCAAATTATACAGGGATTGTCGCATCTGTTCAGGATTTCTGTGAGAGAAAACAAGTCAGGAGTTTGGCAGGGACTATAGATATTGACAATGTTGATTTTATGTTTATCAGTGTTGTAAAATGCACCTACTTGAAACTCAATTTGTTTGTTTGACTGAGCAATACATTTAAAAGCAGTTCCACGTTTGACAAAGACAGCACATCCTCTGCCTCCTTGTTTGAGGTCAGTAATTTCCCCGTCACAGCGTTAGCCATGGACGTAAAGATCTTACTTTTAAATATTAAGCGAGGTTTCTTGTATGCAAATGATATCCAGTTTGTGGATCCAGGACTTAATAGAGCTTTAAATTGTTTGTTGTGAGAAGTAAAAGACTGGGCATTCCATTGCAAGATGAGAACCATATTGTAATAAGAAAACTCACTGAAGTGTAAGGGTACATGAGAAATGATTTGTTTTCCTTAGATGTTAGTGTTTCAAATGTCAACTGTGGATAGTTCCATCGAAAGCTGGTCAGGAACAGGCTCTTTGTCCTTCTTTTGATTTGATTTGGGGCCTTTAGATGGAGTTTCTTGTCTGCTTTGTCGTCTACTATGAGCGATGGTCGCAGGGTCTGGAATATGTGAGATACCAGTAAAAGTATTTTGACTGGGTGTGGTTCTGTCCGAGCCACTGTAGACATTACTGTAAGTTATTACTCATTTTCTGGATTGTTAATGGATTTGAGGTTCAGGTTTAGATTGTCTTTGGGCCAGGCTGATAAGTTTGACAAGCGTAGACCGAGGCTGGGCCTCATCCCAAAAGCTAGGTTTTCCATTGGATTTCTGCTTCGACATTTGATCCCATAACATGCCTTTTCAGATTCAGACTCATCATCGGTCATTTCTAGATCTGATAGATTATCTCAGAAATTACCTGATGTCTCTTATACTGCATAGAGCCAACCTTTCATGTGACAATCCCTAAAAGTGCACACTCGATCTTACCGATAGATCACCGGTTTTGTGTGCAACCATTGAATTTCGCACTAGATAACGAGTGACAGTTAGATATGTCCGGTCACTTCGGCGTCTCCCAGCAGAAAAAAAATGTACAAGCTTAAACATTGAATTTACATATATACATTTACTGATCCTAATCCCGAGTGATGTACATGTATCAAGGATCAGTTTTGACCTCACATGAATTGGAATTGCATAGAGACATCACAGCTTCAATGGCAAGCCATTTTTGTACTACATTTTCTTTTCCAAATGGGAGCTACACAGATATCTCTCTGACTGATAATTTGTCAATTCTCAATGTTGGTACCAGTATTGTTTTTGAATCAGGATAAAACGGCATTTCTCTTGGCATTGTATTCCATCATCAGTGACATGATGATTTGTGATCCTGGGGATCCTTTGTCAGTTTGAACATTAAGCACTACATGTACCTGTGTTTACAAAGTCCATTCTGGAAACATTTTCTCCCAATGTGTGTCAGTAAACGGGGAAAAGCCCTCTGCTCTATTAAAAACAAATTTGGTCAAAGTGCATGAGATCAAAAGAAATCAGTATGGTTCCATTCATTATGAGCTGTACAAATTGTACGATACATTAGGCTACCATCCCCCATTCTTAGTCGAAGACGTAAGTGGCAAAACATCCGACAACAGAAGGGTAATAATGGTTCTTTTCATGAATGCCATCAAGGAAGTATCCATGTGAAGTGACCGCTATTTCTAGTGCCTCCCACGTTTCAGCCTTTTTAAGTCCAATTCATGGTACGACATTCTAAAGTAGGCACCTCCCGGTGCATACGTCATACAAGTTGGACCCTGAAGTACAAACTGGACATGGTCGGAAAGGAGCTTTGATTTACTTTTCATTAATTTGAACCATAAACATCATGAGGATTGCGACCTGTAGAAAACTGAACATTTTGAGAGTTGTAAGGTTTGAGAGTTTTAACTTTTTGGATTTAGCCAAATTTGCGTATCTTTGCGGACAGTATTTTTCATCATTCCGTTTCATTGAATACCTCATTATCCAATTTCTTTTCGGTTGTTTTTAATAAGTTTTGGAGTTTTCTTTGCTCCGAAAAGTTTAGAAAGCTATTAGTTTGAAACTGATTAGCTTTTGTTTTGTTTTGTGAAGTAAATGTAGGTCCAGATGTGTACCTTCCGACACCCAAAAATGTATGTCCGACACTAACATAATCCATGCTTTTTCTGAAAGTCCCAATCAGATAAAAACATGTCTTATGTTAAAACAGTCAACCTGCAGATAATGAAAAAAAAAAAGTAACACTGGTCCCTCACTTGCACATCCAGTGCCAAGAACATAATCTGCTGAGTCATGCTGTGTGTTCTGCCCGACGCAGTATGAAAACTTGTATGGACTTGTGACTATTAATTAAATTAAGCCATCAATTTTTGCAGTATTTTTCCTTTTGCGAGAATTAAATGGACATCTTTCTGACCAATACTTAGTCAATTCTTAAACTGATATTCTTTTTCAACCATTTAGCAATGTGTTCTGTGAAGTCATTATTTTGTACATGTAATCCTGTGATTCGATCTTTGCCCTGTTTACTATTTAAAGCCACATTCACACTGAACTAAAAATTGTAAAAGGTTATCGTGACTGCTTGTTAACATTCCATTATGGCTTTTCTTCCATGCATCCGCAAAAAGATGACTCAGACCTTGCAGCGTTGTGCTTTCAGAATATCATGAGAGCACCCTCCGATTGACCTTATAATCCTACACCCAGATATGGCCTCTGGAAAGCGTACCATTCTTTTTCCTTCAATCACTGCGAAGTTATTCAGAACTCTCTCAGTTGATTTGTTGGCCAAACCTGGCAATTGCACAGTGTGACGTGTGTCTCAATCTTTCAATCGAGCGGTCCTCATCGTTGTCGTTGCTGGTCATAGAGCTGTAGACACAAGCGTTTCATATTGCTCCACTGAAAAGAAACTCCAAATCATTTCCTGGGTGTTCTCCATCTTATTGATTGATATTACAAATACCACAAATCGATAAATGACCGAAGCAGGGCTCATCATGTGGCACATTTTCCAATGTTGACGTCATGTTTATGCAAGGTCATGACAGTAGCTGTACAGTTGCATGTGCGGGAACAGAGGTCACGACCCATTGACGTGCCAATTGATTTCATGTGATCAAATGTGTTACATTACACTAGCCGTCTGCACAGGACTTTTCTGCGACATAAAATTGACAATGCATTCTGTCGCGACCCACTTCGACCTGAAATCTTCCGCATTGGGAACGTAAAACGTACAGCTGGCGATCAACACTTGACAATTTCTGCATTTGATTTAATTTTGTCGAATTGACAACAGTCTCAATGTTTTACCAGAAAAATGTCCGATGTGAAGACAGCTTTAGTTACAGCATCCACAATCTGAACATTTTCTACTGAAAAACCTTATGTTCCATTTAAATAAGATAGAATCTCTAGCCTTTATTCGACGTTGTCTTTACATGTAAAGATTCTGTGACATCAAACCAGATATCCATACTGCCTGATCACCTTGTTTTCAACTTATTTTTCTTTTAATGCTGGCCTAAATCCTCACGCACACACATTTGTGAGGCAGGCAAGCACACATTTGCAGGGGCCTTGGAGGGCAAGGGGGTACATCTGTGACAAGAATTGGCTCTGATACCAAACATTGAAGTGTGGACCCCATTGTGACATTGTTTATAGCGACATTGTACTGTAGTGAGAGCTTTGCTCCATTGTTAACAATCTATTAACAACCAAAGATTTCACATCATCGTCAAGACAACCAACTTGTACCGTGATTGTAACAAACCTTTTGAAGGGTAATTTGTGTGAATAAGTTTGTCTTCATCCCCCAATCTCATCCCTCCGACCTCATCCCTGCAATATCTAAAACTTAAAGATTGGCCAGAAAGCTTTGTGCTATTAAATCATTGAGGATGCTGTGTGATTTCCATGGAAGGCCTTAATTTAGGACATTATAAAAGACGTTAGTTCTGTATACTGTTTGCTTTGTAAATTCTTTTTCCCGGAAATGTAAAGTTTGCATGCTCTCAGAAATTTGTGTTTAATTTTTTTTTTTCCCCTTTTCATCCCAACTTGCTTACTCACTCGCCCACCACCCGACCCACCGAAATGTTTTTTGATATAGAATTCAGCACCTTACAGCATTCACGGTTGTCAAACACTGTCAAATGCAAAAGTAGGGGTTTGCTGGTAGAATTGGGCATGTCCAGTGACCTCTTCCACTACTCAAATTCAAAATTTGACCTGCATGGCTAATGAGGGCTTTCAAGCTGGTTGCAGACAGTGCTTGGGCACTGTCCTTTCTTCTGGTTTATGGCATGTTATGTAATTAGGCCCAAGTCTTCAATAGTGAAAAAGCAGCATCCAAAAAGCCAACACATTTCTGTAGTGCATCATGGAGGAAGGAAAAAGACATGTACATGTACACATGTGTATGTACCTGGTGTTTGATCTGAACTGAACAGATAAGAAAAACTTGAACACTGACAAATTCCTTTCCTGGTTTGTATATTTGCTCTCTCAATTTATTCTGGAAACTACCAAATTGCATGCTTTTCAAATGTAATAGTTTAACACATCTTCAGTATCCCTTTAATGAAAGTGTAAACAAACTGTTCACAAGTTTTACATTTGATTGTGCAAGCACACGTTCTCAAAATACTACATGATTCCCTTCATTTTCAAATTGCATTTCAGAACTCCCAAGAGTGTGCATACCAGCAGTCTACCCTCATCGTGTTACCATCAACGGAGGTCCAGGGATCAGACGAAGTCACCGGGCACCTGCTCCACTTCGCTGCGCGTGCCGGTGGCCATTAGGGAACACAGCACAGGTTGGTGGGCAGCATCAATGTTACATTGGTTGTACTTGTGACCGGCGGAGCAATGAATTCAGGAAGGTCAGAAAGGGGTGAGTTGTTATCAAGTCATTTTCTTCTTGTTTCAAGAATGTTTCATGTCACTTTATACATGTACATGTAGATGCAAGGATTCTTGCGGATGTTGGTTAGTTTTCATGCAAAGCAGCAGCAGCAGCAATTCCAAAAAAGAAAGAGGGTTAATTTGTCAGCTTCTGTTGTTAGTTCACCATTTTCAAATCTTTGGCGCTGCAGATCTTGAGTACGTTTTGTATAAAAAAAAAAAAATTCAGCAGAAGAAAAACACAAAGTGCTGTGTATATTGTCAATTTATTCACTGGCGCTGCAAACATGTACATGTGTGATTTGTGGTTGTCAAATCTCAGGTTTTGGGGTCAGTTTAAAGTCAAGTTTCACGTCCTAGCAAAGTTACAAGTCAAGCTTTATGTTGGTGTATTTTAATTCAAGTGTTTCAAGTAAACAGGTAATGTTGAACTTACATGTAGCTGTACAGTTCAGAGGATATTGAACCTCCTCTGATCATTGGGTTTTACTGATGAGGTCCTACTTCCAATTGTTTCAAGGTTTTGCATTCACATTTTACTCTGTCAAATAAGTTGATCATCAAGTGCAAGAACTCATCAAAAACTGTAATTAAAAGATTTCAAAGAGCCCATATAAGTCAATTTCATTTAACTTTATTCGTATCAATTTGGAAATCTTTCATTCTGACAATCAGTATCTCAGATGCCGAAAGGTCCATCTTGTCTCATCCTTCACAATCTGCAGTTGGAATAAAAAAATACAAACTTTTAAGATGGCAGAACAAATTGGAATCATTCACTTCATGTTTGGCATTCATTGGAGATGCTTCTGGCTTCTTAATTGAATTTTATAACCAAAAGTTTCAAGATTTGACACTTAACGTTAAAAGAAAGTTGGGACCTCAACAAAATTCAATGCATCAGAGGTAATTCAGGACCCTTTTAAATTTATTGCAAAAAATAAAATGTATTCCTTGGAGTTTGAAATTGTTTTGGCCAACCTAACACTTGAAATAAAAATATACCAACATAAAGCTTGAGTTTTTACTTTGTTGTTG